ATTTGGAAACTCTGGTTATAACTATATTTTTCCAATTCTGGAAAAAAATATTTTTATAGTTGGTATGTTTGACCCAGTATACAAATAAGATTCACACAGTATTGGGCTGGAAAGATGGCTCAGTGGTCTAAAGCACCTACTTGGAACAAGCTTGGCAAAGCACAGGGACCGCGGTTCGATCCCCCAGCACCACATGCCAGGCAGCCCCGCCCCCTGGTGGGCTGAGCTGGCCACACACATACACACACTAAATAAAAATGTAATAAATAAATAATTTAAAAAAAAATAATACATTTGCAGTTACTTCTAATGCGGAAGTACCAATAAACATTAAAACACAAAATTTAAAAAACTCTTGATATGCAAATAAGTTTCTTTACTTTCTAGAAAGTTTGAATTCCCACATTGTCCTGAAATAAACTGTTGACAGAAAGTAGCTATTTTCTGCATAGCAAGCAGCTGCTATGCTGTAGGCCTAGACTTTAGCTATCAGTGATGTGTACTGTCACAGATACAGTCTCAGCCAGCTGACAAGAAGATCCTGTAAATAACCCCTTGGATTTCATTATTTTTGAGCCACTCAAGAGGATCCACCCATGGTTAGCTTCTTGCTGTCTGGGTTCCAGAAGATGCTAAGGTAGGCTTTAGAGGTTGCACTTTTTTTTTTTTTTTTTTCCAGAACCAGGGATTGAACTCAGGCCCTTGTGCTTGCCAGGCAAGCACTTACTCTATTGAGCTATTTCCCCGGCCCGAGGTTGCACATTTAAAACCTAGTATAAAGCTCCTCTACGAACTACAAATCTAGGAGCTCACCTGGCCTTTAAAACACCTCCTTTTTCTTGTTTGAGACAAGGTTTGCTGTGTAGCCCAAGCTGGCCATGAACTCTGGGCGATCCTGCTTCTGCCTCGAAAGTGCTGGGACTAAAGACCCGTGCCACCATGTCCAGCAATGAAACACCTCTTGAGCTAACAAAATCCCTTTATCCAGTTTCTATTTTGCCTACCCGTATTTCAACCCAGCTGTGATAATATATTTTTCAAGTAGCTACTCCCATACTTAAAGGCATTATTAATTTCAATTAACTACCCTCAATACTGTACTTCTAATAGCCATCCTTGAAGCAAACAAGACCTGTCATTGGTCATGATGCATAGGACAGTTGGCAACCGGGTGGATGTGGATAACCGGGTGGATGTGGATGTTAGCTTTCATGTGCTTTTGCCCAGCCAGGAAACTATACTGGGTTGTAGTTTGCTTTGTCACTGATGAGCTGATAGCACCAAACAAGTTGCTTAATTTCTATGCCTTAGTTTCCCTAATTCTACAATCAAGGTAATAGTTCTCTCCCAGCTCACTTGGGTTACTTGGAAGAAAGAGATCAGGGATCAGTAATGTGTCTTTTCCTGTCTTCCAAATACAAATGCCCCTGGAACTCTAGGGAGAGTTGATGGCAGTCATGTCTACTGCCCACTCAACTGCATCCAGGGCTCTAGCAGAACTGATGCACTTTCAAGGAGACGGGTCCAGCCCAGGCCTCATTCCCTGAGGGGCATAACCGCAACCTATCCAGAGGGTTGCGTCTGTAGACCCCAGCTTCTAGGTCAGTGCCAGGGATGGGGTCAAGTAGATTCTTCTCACTGCAGTTGTGCAGAGCCTGTACTGTCCTCACATTCCTAACTCTTGATTGTGAGTTTAAAGAAAACAAATGCCCTCCCCTAAAATACAGAAAGAAAAAAAAAAGGAAGAAAATGGCAGAACTATAAAGCAGATGTAGAGACTGTTTAAGATGATGGAGGGCAGATGCCTAGCCTTGCTCATTGGTGTGAATAGAAAAAGCTCAACTCTTGTGTTGGCTGCTTCATTCACCACGAGCAGCTGTAATGGCTGCCTGTGCTAGG